TATTAATGAAATTTATGAAGGAACATCTGAAATTCAAAGATTGGTTATTGCTGGTAATCTCATAAAAGAGTATAGTACATAAAAATTGGTTCTGTTTGAAATAAATTATGGATATCATGTTAACCATTTCTTTAATAGATTGTTGTGACATTATTGCAAAACTAAAGAAAAAATTTGTAACTGAGGAAATAAATGCCCTGTATTTTTATTAATGAAATATTAGAAATATATATATATATATATATATATAATTTTATATTATTTTTTATACTGTATACTAAGGTATTAATAAATTTTATATATTATCTCATAATTTTATTACCTTTTTTTGACCGTTTCATTGACATTATATTATACTTTTTCATATATACATATATATTTTTTACAAACATATACATATACTTATTTATATTTACATCACTTACATGTATATGTGTGTACTATTTCGTCTTCATTATCAGCCATTCGGCGGCGTTACAGAGTTCTGCATCCTGTTTTAATGCAAGAAATAATTGAATTATTAACTAGATTAAATAGTATTCAATAGGAATTAGATATTTCTTTTCTACATACAATGAAATTCAATTCAAACATGATTATTACATGAAAACATTAAAAACTTTTTTTTTAAGAATATAAGTTTTTTACAAATTTTATATTAAAAATTATAGATTTGTTTGTGAAAATGAAGATAGAATTAGATTGACTTCACACTATTAACTCATCTAATTTAATTTTCTAGAAAAATCATATATATCTTGGTTTTTATATAATGTATAATTGTAATAAGTGATTTTGCACATAAATATTCAGTTTTAAATAAATTCCTAAAAACAGTTCTGTGATATTGTTTTCAAGATATCAAATTTTATTTAATATATAACAACTTTAAATGTAATTTATTACTCGTTATAAAACTTGAATAAATATTTTAAAACTACGTGTACATTTTAATTCATAATTATGTACAATTTTTCATTGTTCTAATAAATAGGAAACATTTATTATTTTTTATAATATAAAGTAATAATGAATAAAAGCAAAATAAAACAATTTTAATATTTAAAAATCACTTTTGCTTCTTTCTTAAATTAAGTAATATCATATATATATATATATATATATATATATATTTATAAATAAATTAAATTCCATTGTATGCTTAGTTTATATACAATTAGTACATCCTTTGTCTTTAACATATCAATTGCGCTGAAATTCAAATAGTCTATGCTTAGTTCTACACAAGTGCCTAATATTCTACATATTGTATTTTTATTAACCTTAATACAAAGAGCAACATACATTTATATCTCACTGTACATGAGAATTCAGTTATGCTTAAATACTGAGACTAATATTTCACTAAAAAGACGCTTAATTTACAAAAAGCTAGCATCTGGACACACTGTTAGATCCACATATTAAGTAGAGAAGCATATTACGAATGAATCAATTATATATATTTATTACTTATTGAATTAAAATTTCACTAATAGACAAACATCTAAATATTCATTTATAGAATTAAATTTCTGTTAAAAAAATTATAACTTTAATATTGATGCAATTTTTTAATAAATTTATATTTGCACTTTTTTTTTTATATATATATTTTTTATATTACTTTAATTTGCAATTTATTTATATATTTATCTTATCATGTAGACGTTAAAATTGTCAAATTTGTATAGCAACTTCACTAATATTAGACCATAAATTGATTGTTTAATGTAACCATTCATATAATCATTTATGCACTTGGAAATAGCAAGTTTTATGTGCATGTTATTAACGTTTAATAGTTAATATCATTGACTACATTATTTTATGAATTATTTTACTATGATTTAATTATCTAGACTATATTTTTATTTTCTTTCCTCCCCAGTTATTTCTATTGTTTCCTTGATATTTTATCATTTTAACAACTAATGATCGTTTAAAATGTCTGCTTCAGTATCTTTTTTTTGTTTTATCAGCAATAATACAATAACGTTACTCTTTGATTGTAAATACATTTATCTAAAATCTTTGTAGATATAAATTAAAATTTTAAGTAAATTGAGTAGACACTGAATCTAGACAGATAAACTCTGGAAACTTCCCCAATCCAGCAGGATCACGTACGGCTTTGAGTGTATGCATATGGGTCTGAGGTTAGTATTACTTTGAAGGAAAATTCCATTCTTCTTATGACACTGTATTTATCAAAGCCTCAATCATCACCACGCATTCCTCGTACTTCACCCTTATGTCTTTGCTAGAATACAAAAAAGGAAATTATTTAACTGGAAATTATATTTTTAAATTAAAAAATAAGTGTAATTTTTCTTTTTTTTCAATTACTCTATATAGTTCATTCATATATTATTATATTAATTCATCGGATATGTTAAATGAAAAAAATACTTAATATATAAATTTTTAGATTTTTTCTTATTTTTCACTTAGAATTAAAAAATTATCAAATTATATTGATTATCAAATAAATTTTGTAATGGTTCACTTTCATACAATATATTTTCTTAAAATAATTATGTGCTTTAAAACTGCAATAACGTTAATGCTTTCATAATTTTTATAATGAGTCATACCTTTTGTATTTTTATTTATTTTTGATAAAAAATTTTGTTGTATATGTTTACTTATAAATTTCATGAGTACAAAAATCAAAATTAAATATTAATTTAAAAATTTTTAGTTTATATATCAAATTATATAATAATATATTACATTATATCACCATATTCTTTAATTCTCTTAAAGATAAAGCAAAGACAATTAATTTGGCACTATATAATTATATTTCTTAATTTTATACAGCAAAATTCTGAGTTATTTTCAATTAAAAATTTCAATGTTAATTAAACTTGCTGCGTTAAAAACTTTAATTTAGATTTAATATTCAACAATTTTTTTTATTCTTACTCTATCTAACTCTTCTTTTGTTGTATCTTCAATTGCTCGTATATCCTCCATCGTAAGACCATGCCAACGGTCAATCCAGCAAAAAACTTGTCGATGAAAATTAGTAAAAAGACGCCTCTCAGCCTTTAAAATGTAGCTCTCTACACGTGCTTGTAGACCAAACCATTTAAATTCACAGGTAACCAGTTTATAACAGGTCATTATTGGAGTAATCTGATGTTTCCAATCTTTACCAACCAGTGGTCCTCGACCTGTTTTTTCAGATTTGAATTTCCTTGGATCTTCGTCATCTTTGTAATCTGCGCTAGCAATTGGATCATTAGATATGTCTATGTGTACAACTTCTCTTATTTTAAGTTTATTTGGAGGAAGTTCATGAACCTGAAATTATAATCAATTAAATTTTATTAAATTATTACTAAATCTGTGTACTATTACATGAATTGATTATAAATCACCACTATTTTTATAAGTTTTATTATAAAATGATATTTGTATCTTATTTTACTGAATGTAATCTTTCATTTTATCTATAAATGAAACTATTTTAATATTGTTAAATTATTATTAAATGTATAAATGAACTTTTATAACAAATTATCATATATTTTAAAAATATGAGTTTTAATTTCTTACATTTTCTTGGTCTCCAATATCACCAATATGATAAGATTCTATGATAATAATAAAATTTTCTTTCATATAACCAGGATTCTGCAAAATAAACATAGATTTAACAATATACATTTGCAATTTTACAAATCAATAATAAATTTAAATATTTACACTTATAACAGTTTTGCAGTAAGGGTAGGCATTCCATGCTTCTTCATGAATCTCCAGTGAACTCTTGGGTAGCAGCATGCGAATATAAGCAGGCACTTTGCTTGCTAAATGATAAATCTTGTATGTATATTGACCAGAAGAATATTTTCCACCAAGGAGTGGATAATTCGTAAAGGGTTCATTTTTTAAAACTTCTATGCCCTCACCTCCACCTGTATTATTTTTACTAGCTTCCGCTACAGAGTATAATTGAGCTACTTGATACTATAAATTAATAAAAATAAATTCGAGTATTATGAAAATATTTTAAAGACAATTAAAGTATATTTTAAATAAAAATGACTGTTTTATAATTTAATTATATTATACAATGAACATATGTAATAATATGTAAAATTGTAAAATGTTAGTTATTTAAATATAGAATATTGATTAAATTACGTGCAGCACTCGAGTAAAAATACTATAATTTTATTAAAAATAATTATTATTTTATTTTGTAAACAAGTATAGGTTTTGATCAAGCTTGCTTTGTCTACATACCTCTTCAACAGTGACAGGAAGGGTAACACGACTGCAACAAAGAAATGATACAGTAATTAACAAAAGACAAATAAAAAACAATATTAAAGCCAGTGCAAAATTTGATAATAGATGTGTAAATGGCCTTGAAATCTGTTCTTGAACTAAAATTTACAATTTTATATTTAACATGAAATTTATATCGAAAATTAATTAATTTTATTCTGTAAAGGCATTGAAAATACATAATTCGTAAAAAATTTGTTTGAATGAATGATTATAAAAAATCATATACAGAAATATAACGAATCGTCTTATTACACCCTTTTTGCTTTCAATGTTGTTTATAACAAATGACACGTTTCTTGTTTATTAACTCAAATTTTATCTGTTATGTCTATAAAATTACAGAATATATCGACGTAAAAACCAGAGATATATATTTAATTATATGAAAGAATGCGCATGTATGATTATAGGTTAGCCTTTAAATTTTGAACTAACGATCGGTCCTCAATCTACGCGTAAAGTTGCCTTGTTGGGGCGTCGCAAGAATTATGGACACGATAAGATTTTTTAAATAATGACTAATCCAAGAAAGAACAAATACAAATGGTTTACGCAGTCATTTCGTTATTTTTTCTTAATACTTACAATTCTTTGATAAGCATATTTCACGGTTTGGTGCACATGGACCGGGAGAAGACGTCTACGTCCTTGTATTAATCACGTAGTCGTCGTTGACGGTGCGATATAATCACCACGTTATATGTGCGTATTTGTGAATATAAGTCTACAGAAAAAGTTGGCAAGCTAGCTCTATTTCTTTCATCAGCCAACTACTCTCGTTTCCTTACTTTTACTTCCTCTCTCTCTTACACTTTCTTGCCTTACCAACTACACTAATATTCGAAACACTTCTACTTTATTTTCTTGTTCTTTTCAATTAAATCACGTTTATTTTAATTTGTAAACGTTATAAAGCGTAGTTTGCTATTACGATTAATCTAACAAAACTAATTTACTCATTGATCACAGTTGGAATTCAGTTAGACGCTAGCTCCAAATTGTTTGGAACTCACAAGGTTGGAATTAATAGTTTGTTAGAATACTCAGCAATTGATAGCTCTTTGCTAAGCGCGCGCGCTACTTGCTAACGTTAATAGTCGCACACATTTGACGTGGCTTTTATATTCCTTTATCTTTCTTTAATTCGGCTTGTCTATATCTACTTTTCTCACTTTGTAGCGTACTTAGATGGTCGCCTACTCATGCTTTACGTACAGTTCTGGATCTTCAATGCATGCATACACATGCATTTGAATATAGTGCACTATATATGCATTTAAAAAAAATGCGCTTATTCTCTCTTTCTTGTTATATTCCTCCATCTTATGTATATCGTAATTTTGCATAGAATTGAAACTTAACGTTTAAAAATATTAATCATTTATTTATTGTATATAATAACGCGGTTTTTATAAATTCAAATTGCAGTTTATTTTTAATATTTAAAATAAATATATTTTTATTTTCATTAGGAATACTATAAATAATCAAAATTTATAATTTTACCATGTTTTTCTTGTATCTACTTAATAATTGTCTTGTTTTTTAGTGTATATATTTTCCTTTTTGTTCATATGCTCAGTACTTTTACCTCCCTTTATTTAACAATTTCTTTAAATAATTTTCAATTTTTCATTAAATAAATAAATTTTATTTTTTATTTCAATTTTGATCATTGACTAATTCTTGGCTGTACGTGCTACTTGCGTTAATAATTCCTGTTCTTACCCTTGGCTTTCCTCTATGTTAACCGCCAGTGTTGCCAATATAGGGATTTTCATTATACAGAGCGATATATTGTCTGGCTCAGTGCCGCGATTGAAACACATGCTCATATTGGTTGAACACTTGTATTAAAGATAAATTCAAACAAGGAACAACGTGAAAATTATTAACTTATTATAATATAGGGATAAAACACAAAAATTTTACGATGATAATATGCCAGATTACAGCTATAACAATTTGGTACAGAGACGTTTATTAGAAGCATTGTATGTCATAAGTCTTTTCGGCAGTGAAATTTACTTATGATTTTGGATGTGCTCAGTACTCTTTCAATTATAATGATTTAAAATGGAAAAAAAACATTAAAAAAAAATATTAATTATTTTCATTATTATTTTATACAATTTTACAATTTTAATTATTTTGAGATTGAAATATTTGTAAAAATATATTTAATTATAAGCATCATAATTTGATATAATTAACTTATTGTGAATCTGAATAATTTTTTCGTATTAAATCACATCTTTATAACAATATTAAATTTAAAAATAAGTTATTAATAAAACACTATTTTGTTGAATCTTCATTATATTAAATAATTAAATATATTTTTAAAGCAGTATGTATACATAGTATATCATCAGATTTAATCATACTTTTAATTTTGTATTTTTACGTGACTCTGGTCTGATAAGTGTAAATTATTTAATTAAAAATATATTACAATATTATTAATTAAAATTGTACTCCTTCTAGTAGTCTACATTCAGAATAATTTTAATTCCATTATTTTAATTTTATAAAACGTTTTTTTAATTTCAAATGATTATTTATAATATATTAAATAAAATTAATCTGAATTTTGTAAAATAAATAATTCACAATCTTGTCATTTATAATATTTTTCTCTTTATACATAGCCAAAAATATAATGAAAAATATAATAAAAGAACTACGATCGTGATTTCTTATTTCCTTTTCATAAAATAGATATATATATATATTATTTGATAAATTAAATCGATATGTAATTTAAATTTTTTATTTCTACTAACGTTAAGTTGTAAAAATTATTAATAATATAATTACTATAATACTTATTATTGTATTTAGTAATTGATAATATCGTATAATTAATTGTAAGTGCAGTTTTCTTGTTTGATATATTTGTTTAAAAAAGAAGAGCACAAATAGAGTCAAAGAGAATAAATAAATAAAAATTAAATATTTACAAAAGTAATAAGATGCTTTTATTAAATTTTTGGATTATGGTCTTGCACTCGTAATTCACATAATGCACATATTATATTCAGCTTAATGTTCTGTAATAACATTTGTAGATAAATAATATTTTTATGTTAAATTTTGTAATTAAAAGTTTAGTTTACAAATTGCTGTATGCGGAAGAGCCAAGTTCAATTCTACCTTTGAAGAGAGGAGCAGTTTATAACCCTTTAATTATTAAAGAAAATGAAAAAAATTTTTTTTTTAAATAAAATAATAATAATTAATATAATAGTTTTAAATATTTGTGTAAGTGAAAAACGAGAATAGACTATATTTATATTCAAAACTTTGTAACAGAAAATTAATTAATAATAGGTTAATCTTTAAGTCCATCAATTCAACAAATAAGCTGGCTCTACCGTATTCAAAGAAATTAATTTACCAATTTTGTATATAATATTATTATATAAATAATTAATTTAAATAAAATTTAAATAATTAAATATAAATAAATAATTACTATAAATTACTGTACATAGGACATAATTTTAATAACTATTGATTGAAAATTCAAATCTATAATGAAAATATTTTTAAATATTATTAGTCAATAAAATAAATTTCTAATAATAAATTAATTGAAATAAGTTCAATTATTTTTTATATATTTTTTTTGCGAATAAAATGAAAGTAATTGATAATATTAGTGTTAAATTTTAATATAATTGATGTACGACAAGTACTGGTTTATTATTTTCCGATCGTTAACATTATTATATAAATTAATGTATAAAAAATATTACTTGTAGTTTAGATGTTTATACAGCTATTTTGTTTTTATTTTTTTTGTTTGTATTTATCACTTCTAAATTTAATTTTATGATAAAATTTTAGGTTACAAATTTTAATATATGAAGATTATTATAAATAACATTTAATTCCTGAAATATTTAAATCGCAAGAATTAATTTATATTAAATGAAAAATACATTTTCTAATAATACTCATAAGTGACTTTATCAAATTCGAGATATAAAAGCCGTTTATTTATGTGATGCTGATTTATTTTATTTTTGATGAAATGAACAAATACTTACGTAAATTTATAATAACTTATATCATGCAAAATTCAAATAAATTCTGAGAATGTGTAATTCGAAAGTATGAATAATATTTTTAGTATTCAGAATAAAAATATATCCTATATTTGACAGTCATCCAAAAACAGGATAGATATTTAATTTGGACAGAAATAAGTTAAATTATTGTTAGCCGGTTCCATATTGGCGGTCCATTTTCTGATCGGCTGGTTCTTCAGTTTCTCTCGGCGAAAGGGAAATAATTGTCGTTGCCCCATTTTTTGACATTAGCAACAGCCTGGTCAGCGTACCGCGGTTCGCCAACCATTACTATCGTTTCATTGCCGCGAAACGAGCGCTAATAATTGTGTCTCACTTTCGACGTGAATTAAATTCATTTATACAATCAGGCAATTAAGATTAAGGCGAGGGATGTGCAGTGCACACTTATGAGGATTCCTTACATTAAAAAGTGCGTTTTTTATTTCTTCTTATAGTTTAATTTTAAAGTTTAAAAGTTTAGTGAAAAGTGTTTGGTCTATGCTGATAGTGACATTAAACTATAGGAATATATTATTATTGGACGTTACATTTATAATTTATATAATTTATAGTATTTACTAAAAAATTTTATTTTTGATGGAATATAGCTTAATTTGTATATAATATTCTGTTAAAATAACTGTTATTGGACCGAGAAAATCCATTGCATATGTTTCTTTTTTTTCTTTGGGTTACATGAAACAGTTTTTTTTATCCAAGCAAACGGATACTATAATATAATAATCAATAGAAAAAATATAATATAAATTTAAAAAATGAATTTTATGAAACATTATTTCCTTATTACTTTATATAAATTTATGAATCATATTTTTAGAAAGTGTCATGATCTTGTATATAAATTTATTCTCTTGTAATAAATAAATTTATATATTGTATTACTATAAATATAAAGTAAACAATACTAATATTTCTAATCATTAATAAAATACATTTTTATACGTATTAAATATAAAACAATTTTCAAAATCCTTTTAATAGATAATTATTTAATGTCAACGATCGTTCTATTTTAATTCGATTATATAAAAATTATTGTTTTTAAAAAGTGAGATTTTTAATCTGTTTGAGATTCTTTCTAGGAATTGTTTTGGCGATTAAAACATTTTTGAAAAAATTTGTGATAAATTGTAATCCTAACTAGATAACATTGAGTGATATATTACTATGTAAATAGATATTTGCTTGTAGTAGTAACTTATTATTTTATATCAAACTAATTTAATTTTAGTTTCCGAAACATCACAGTAACGAAAGTCTACTTACAAACTTCGCTAAAAGCTTGAAAACATTTACTTTCCATTTTATTAAGTAACACATATAGGATATTGTATGACTTACAAGATATACATATAATAAACGTTATATATAATATTTATGATTGGAAATTATTATAAAAACTATATGATTTAATAATAGTAATATTATATAGCTTACATGAAAAAATTATTAAATGAATGTATTAAATGTTTGCTTAAATAAACTATATAATTTACCAATAA